CTTTAATAGTAACGAGGAAGTAGACAAGGTGAAAAAGGTTCTGTCGATACCGCAAACCTTCTGCAAGAGAGTCGCTACGCAGCTTGAGAAGGATTATGAAGAAATGCAATCGTGGGACGATGACGGATTTTTTAATATTCACAGAGCAGTCATGAACGACGATTTTAGGCGAGTGAAGAGGCTGATGGTGGTCCTGAACGCTTCAAAGACGAACATCGACATACGCACCGAGGACGGGTTGGTAAGTAGTTGCCTGGAATTAAACACAGTGTAAGTTAATAAAAATCATTCTGATATTATTTCAGACTTCTCTCGAGCTAGCGGTCAAATATTGCAGTTCTGAGAGCATAGTGAAGCTCCTACTGGACGCCGGAGCTAAGCCGATCACCTCAGAACTACTTCACGAATCGGCAGTAATTCTAGCTAGCAAATCGTCGTCCCCGTTGCTACCATTGCTCTTAGATTACGTGACGGAGAGCGAACTACTCAATCAGATGGATTCGACAGGTAAACGTCAGATAAGGAATTCACAAATCGATTTCAACAGAACTGTTCAGTTTTCTCATCTTTCGTTATGCGTTTATCAAAGGTTTCGCCCCATTGCATTATTGCGCGATGCACGGCAACATGAACGGATTGACCAGTCTGATATCAAAGGGCGTGGACGTGAACGTGAGGGATCATCGTTCGGGTCGAACGCCGTTCTTCCACGCGGTGGAAAATAATCACATGAAGATCGCTCAGAAATTAATACAGAGCGGCGGCATCGCGGACATACCGAATTTCTCAGGACAGTCCGTGATGTCTTTGGTCTGCGAAGCTAAGCGTTTTCTACTGATGCCAGTACTGAGGGACATGATATTTCAACTCCCTGCCAGCAAAAATCGCTCGAACTTTTAGGTGACCTCGAAATGTAATAGGAAATTTTTACGCAAGTTCGCCGTACAATATTGATATTTTCCAAGCATAATTTATCCGTATTCGTAAATCGAAGGCTCATGATAATTGTTACTCAATTGTACACAATCATGAGATTTGTTATTATTATGTGAATTATAAAATAACGTTCATCTTGTTGAACAGATAAATTTTTTCTAATCCCAGTCCGAAGAGATTGTAGTATCGTTAAATTGTTATTATTTGTTATTTGTTTTTATAATTTATTAAGCATAATTCTGAAAATTTTCTGTTAGTGTAATCGTTATGGAAATTATTTGGAATGAAGAAAGAAGGAACGCTG